CATAAAACTACTCGTCATATCAGAGGAGATTGTCCAACTTAACATGACAAAATAAATGGGGTTGAACGTTTGCCAATCATGAATTCTAGGCATAAAAGAGATAAAGCTAGATTCATAACAGGAAATTAATGCATAACTGTGAAAAAATAGAGAATAGCCAATTTAAATGTCACTCAGGATCATAACTAAGCGAACATTATTTTTATAATCTTGTGAAAGTCGGAAATTAGTAGTAGACTCTCTTAAATATAAATGGATATTTCTGAACTCGCCATACTCCGTGATAGTCAAAGTAGTCCCATTGTCATACAACAGAAAAGCACGCACTCGTCAATTTTCCCAACAGACTAACGTATGAGTCACAAGTGGGTACATTTCGCACTATCTTTCTACCATCATTCTGCACAACCTACTGCTCTAGCTCGCCGCTTAGTTCATTCAGCTATCGACTTGTACATCTCCTAAGCCAATAATAAGAATGGTAGGCAAGATTTGTCCCCAGAAGCTCTACAAGACATGTTGTCGATCCAGCCCAGTTTCCAACGATGCTAAGCCTGCTTGCGAAGATGCTAAGCGAACTAGGTTGTGAAGTCAAATCATTTTCTGTGCTCAAGTTTAAAAATATTTCATTGGCGTAGTCAGTTTATGGGGAAATTTTCATCCGAGTCGTAACACATGGTAGTAGGAAGTGGCTTGGCAGCCCTCAAAGGTAAATAATAGAAAACCGAAAAAAGGGACAATCCCCTCCTAATTCGACTAAAACGATGTGGAGATGGAGCTTGAGGAATCCTAATGAATTTGTTGGCAATAAAAGCATGATGCATCGCACCAAACCGAGAGCAGCCTACTGATTGAAACGTCTAGCCAGATTCTGGCAAGAGGATAGGCTACACATAAATGGAAATGTAGACCTTCATATGCAGCATTGTTGTTGGCAGGCCTATAAGGAAATTTTTTTTTAATTTTATGAATATCCATTCAAAATAGTTATCTGAGATTCTGAGCGGCTCTCTCGCAAAAGATTGTCTCTGATCGATCCCGTGGTTCAGCAAATAAAGTTAATGTCTATTTAGAAAAATCGTTTGCAGTAACAACTAATGGGAAGTCGAACATTTTAATTTGCTGAGTTAAAAGCTCCATGGAAATCAGCTAGCCAGGCCATGGAGTATAACAGGCCTCCTGAAGATTGAAGCACCAAGTGTAATCCAAGAAAAAAGATCCTTCCGAAATTTGAAGAAAAGATGGAAAAATGAAGCGATCGATAAATGCATTGTTTTAAAAAGGAAATATCAGTTTCAGGTGCTGGAGGTCCGGATTCACAGAATAAACGTGAGCCAGGATGGACATTGCAAAGTGGGCTTCTATAGCTAACTGTTCACTGGGCCTGCCGGTGAATATATTCTGTCTGATAGTGCTCACCTACCACGGTTCTAACTCCGAGGCTGGCCTACAATTCGGCCTAGTGATTAGCTGGCTCCAGTCTATGGTAGACATTCTTATCTGTCTGAGCCATTTGGCCGGCCATATAACAAGCGAGCCATTATCCAAAGAATTGCCCGAGATGATGGCCGATTTGTTCTGCCGCGTGGTAAAGACTTTCGGGCTTGTCTGGTTCCTAGCCAGCCTACGAACGAGCCTAAATGTGTGCCTGGCCACGTTCAATGTTATTAAACTGCTTTATCCATTTATGAAGTTGCCGTTGCGCTTGTCCTTGAGGATTGTGATTATTAGTATTTTGATGGTGAGCAACGCGCTAGCTGCCTTGGTTCCACATCTGTTTCTTTCTCGCTTTCGAAGTGGTGAACAACGTTGCGAAGTGCATGAGCCAAACGAATTTATCGTAAGCCCAGCTTATGAAACACAGTTGAGAGTATGGATCCTCTTCAACATAATCTATCAGCTTTTACTGCCAAGCCACATTACCCGTGCATTATACAGACGCCTAATTGCCGATTTGTCGAGCAACCAAGACGCTGCATGGCAAATAGCCGTAACAGAAATAAGGAAGACCTTTCGCATGGATTGTATGTTGATGTTAGCTTGCTACACTCCAGCATACATCTCGTTGTATCTGGATTTATATT